CAATCAATAAATTGCCATGCATATATTTGCATATTATGTAATAGTAATTTAATGTGATATTCATAAAAATAAAAGTTAATATACTGTATTCTAATAAGTAAGCATTTTATTACGGGTAATTATTTTGGATATCATATTTATATTAATATTAATATAGATTGCCATAATAATAATTATAATAAATTCTAAAGTTATTTTTGTTATCATTAAATATTTCAAATATGCCAATTTTAATTATCCAGTAATTTCTATATAGACTAATAAAAATATTTATTAAAATTATTAAATACTTATTTTTAGAAACTATTACTGAATTAATTAAAAACTCAAAATTCATTTAAAAGTTTAGAAGTCATAATTGAATTATAGAAAAGATTTATTGTTTAAAACAGTTTAAACGAACAGAAAAAAGTTAAACCATTAAATTGTTGTGTCAATAGGAAAAGTCTAAGAATAAAATTTAATTAAAATAGTCTAAACTAAAAGTCAATATTTGAATCGAGAGAGAGAGAGAGAGAGAGAGAGAGAGAGAGAGAGAGAATTAGGACTAAAATCATAGATTTCTATCCCATTTTCGTGAACAACACATATTTCACAAACTTTTTTAGTGTTTAGGAGTTTAAGAAAAAAGTAAATATCTTTAACTTTCGATTTATAGTACAAATAAAGATTTTGAATCAATTCAAGACTTCAATCTCAGTTTTGACTACAAAATGAATGGATGTTTATTGACTATTACTTTGCATTTGCTTTCGAGTTAACAATTTTCTCGACTCTTACAAAATATTTGAAACATTTTTCAAATTGAATTATTTTGTACATATAAAATACTATTTTTCGATATACATGTCAATTTTTATTTTTTGATATCTAAATGTCACTAGTAACTAATGAACGCTTTATTAGTCGCGCAAAATATTTAATTAAAATGCTATTTTTGTAAAAATATTTAATCAAATCTTTAATTTTTAAACAAAATCAAATTTGCATAACAAATTTCTAACTTTATATTTATTTCAACATTTATTTCTCATTCAAACAAAATGAAATGGAAAATGTGTACTAAAAGTGGGATTCGTTTTGAATATTGAAGTGAAAATTTTCTTTTATATAACTTATATAAATCTATTTATATATATGACTATATTGATTGCCATTCACATTATAAATAAAATAAAATTCATTTTCAGACCAATGGATTTGATTGAATGAAATTCAAATATGTTTGCTATGAATTGTGGCGAATCACCAGAATGAACTCCAGATTTATTTTTTGTATGTATTATATATATAGTCTCAAGATTTTAGATTTTGTATAAAATTGAAAAGTTATACCAAAAATCCCGAGGCCAACCATCAAAAAGAATTATTGAGATTTTACAATATATTATTGATTTTTAGCAAATATTTCCAGCGCCTATACCATTAATCTTACACGATTTAAATATTTTCTACATTTAGACTATGATAAAAAAAAGTGTATAATATTAATGCTACAAAAAAATAACTCAAATATTATCTACAAAATTAAATTCCAGTTGATTTGAGAGAGATATTTATAGATATATACAGTATATAAAAGCCTTAATATAACACAGAATATTCTTGAGCCTATGAAATAACTGTCACAATAATATCGGAAACTAATGAATTGGTTTAGTGTTGAAGATCTCCATTCAGTTATTATGCCGTTATGTATGACAGGGCTATAGGAGTAAAAATAATGGCCTTTCAATCAATATTTCATTAGTAAATGTCCGGCAAATACTTGAGAGGAAAGCAGATCTAATCGCGAGAAGTGAATGATAGGAGAGAGAGAGAGAGAGAGAGAGAGAGAGAGAACTGCCGACTCTTTTAGGGCACATACATGTCGACACACACCAACCATAGCCAGGTTAGGGATGCAAACACGGAATTACTCGCAAAATTAAATCATTTCAAACGTCTATTATGAACGAAAAAAATACTATAAATTAATCAATACTTGTGTTGAGAGCGATGATTAGCGAGTGGAGAGATAGGATGAGATGAGAGTAAGAAAAAAAACTAAAGACATAATTAACTTATTTGATGGCAAAGAGATCAATGAATACGAGAGAGCCTCCAGTTCCCCAAGACGTTTAATATATACAAACGACAGCGCATTCCTATCACATAATTCTCTCTCTCAACGAAAAGTTTGATCACTTTTTTGCTGCTTTTTTTATCTTTCACTTTCTCTCTGTATTTCTTGTGTCGATCTCATGAACTCATTCACCATTCCGTAAGAGTATTGCTGATGTGATAGCGATTCAGGTGTTGGGGACAACATCTGCACCATTACTTTCCCTACTCAACGATTGCCTACGAATTCAATGAATCCGAAATAATTGATTGCTTTTTGTCACTGTTATACTGTATTTACAGTATATCATATCATATATACACTGTAATGAAAGTTTACACACATATCGGCTATAATAAGGTATAAATTAACTCCGATTTTTGATAAGTTTGCAAATTTTCTGCTGTTAAATATTTTCTAAACTAATTACTTTTTTTCGGTAATCCGATAATTAGTTAAAAGTATTCAATTATGTTTACTATATAGTTAATGATTTCAGATAACCATTCCCTATAATAAGCCTCTATTCGGAAATCCGACGTTTTGTGAGATATAAAAGTATAGACGAGACCAGAAAACTAGTGATCGATTACTACCATAAATGGCTCACTTTTACTCGCAATCCGTGTATAGGAGTCAATACAGAATATTCCCAAATATGGTTGTAGTTTTTAAACCAACTATGTAATCGTGATAAATCAAAATTTTTAATTATTATAATCTTTAAGTAATAAATGTTTGACTAAACTATGTGAATATATTTTTAATGCCTATATTTTATGTCTAACATTGCATTGATTTCAGGTGACCCTAACATCTCTCCATACGAGTGATGCGAATACTTATCGAAATAAGACATATAATTGTTGTCAAAATTTTTTATACGACTCTCGAGTCGATGTCTTTTTATACATATCTGTAAGTTATCTCAAATATCATATATATTATGCATAATTATACACTATTAGGATTTCAGTTTTAAACTAATACTCCCAAAATATGTTAACTTAATATACAGTATTAATAATTGTATTGGTATAAATATGCAGTATGGCACTGTACTGTATTTATTTTATTTTTATTCAGTTAACATTTTTGTGTGGGGGTTTAAAGCTTAAGTCTTTACTAGTATGTATTACTGAATCCTGATATGAATTCACATATCATACTTACCCTATGAATACTTACTTTCAGGTTATTCTCATATTCTATGCCTTACTGTTTGTAATTGTATTCACGACTAAAATAATAAAAGTCAACACAAATACACCGAAAAGAAAGACTCAAATTTAGAAAATCAAAAGAAAAATCAAAAAATATTGAATATATTAATAATTCATAACATCGACGAGAGAGAGAGAGAGAGAGAGAGAGAGAGAGAATTTGTCAAAAGAGTTATTGATTTAATGCAAAAAAGTTTGAAAATAATGAATCAGATATATTCTAAGAATAGATTTCAGTGCAAAACTGCAAATCAAATACACATAAAGAAGAAAATAATAAGTTTTATATAGTTTTTAAATGTTAAATGTCATGGAAATCGCATTTATCTCTCTTTCTTTATCAATACGTAAATACGTGAATGAATGCCACAATTGTTATGAAACACAAAAAAATAACAGATTATCACAAATAACTCACGACATGTAGTATTGTAACACACAATATACACATTCATTTCATTTGTTTTTCGTATTATCAATATTTATGTAAATTGTTTTTTTTTAAAAAATAATATAATAAAAATGCATTTTATTTATTTATTATTCGTACTGATTTTGACACAAAATGTGATAAATGGCCAGGAGATTAACACCTGTCCGGACAAGTGGTGTACGGGACAGTATGCTCCCAAATGCGATGTTCAATCCGATCACTGCAAGGGAAAGGATATGAAAATATACAAAAACGCTACGATATGCGGATGTTGTCACCTATGTCTACGGGAATTAAGTATATTATTCACTGAACAAACAAACAAAAAACTAAAATATTAATCACAAAAATTTACTACAAATTAAGAGGTGGGCGAGGAGTGTGTCCAGGATATGGCCGGATCCATACCCGGCACCGTTTGCGGGCCGCACCTCAAGTGCGCGAAAGCCAATAAGAAAAGCGTGTGCACTAAAAGTAAGCAAATTCTGTGTACAGAATATTCTTGTGAACACTAATTTAAATTACAATTTATAATGTATAGTATCTGACATATTGGTGCCGTCGGGCAGGTCGTGCGAGAAGGAGGCGATAGAAGTGAGCGAAATAACGGCCGGCCCTCCGAAGCCAGACTGCGATGAGTTCGGCGACTATGCGCCCAAACTGTGCCGAAACGGGACTCTGTATTAAGACTTATATCAAAAAAATATTCATACAAACACTCAATAATCATACATTTTAGGTGCCATTGCGTGGACAAAAAGGGGAACAGGATCTTCGGGTCAGCCACCTATGACAAGGCCTCTGACATGGATTGCTGTAAGTGTCTTATAGTCTCGCTGCCGGACCAATTGAGTGATAATATCTCGTGTCCATCGCATGTCCAGTGTGTTCGCGACAGTTCGCCGAAGTCAACGACCAGTTGTCTGCCATGAACTTCAACATCGATCCCGTCTTCTTCCCGAAATGCCAATCCAACGGCAACTTCGAGCCCTTCCAAGTGGTCGACAACTATACCTATTGCGTGAACACCACCAAAGGCGAGGTGTTAGAGAGGGCTGTGGGCAAGCGAGACGTGGATCAGTTGTCTTGTAGTGAGTATATTAGCGCTTCGATTGAGTGATAATTAAATGATAATATTTTTTCGCCACAAAACACATCCACTCTTCTTCTCCAGAGAAACAGCGATACGATTACGTGAGTGAGTGCGAGAAGGAGTACATGAATGCCACCAAACAGATCAGGGAGAGGGAGGACGAGGGCCAGTTGGTGGTGGGCTGGGATGTGCCCAAGTGTGACATCGACGGCACGTTCGCGCCCGTCCAGTGTCTCAACCAATTGTACGCCATATATATGATGATAATGTCTTTGATTATGAACTTTTGTTTGTCTTTCAGCTGCTATTGTGTCAACAAAAAGGGCGAGAAATACAGAGGAACTCAAGTGGACAGGAATGACAAGTTGGCCATCAATCAGACCTGCAGTATGTCTTCAGTTATCGCATATTTGTGTCACAAACTCATGCCTTCGTAGTCGCCATAATCACTGAATGTCTTACTCACCGACAGATTGTGTCCGCGAAATGGAGTTAATCCGCGACATCGAGAAGAAGAGTTGGGACAAAGTGACGGATCTGTTCGCGCAGTACCGGTGCGAACGGAACGGCAATTATCTGGTGCTCCAGTGCACGGAGTCCGCCTGTTATTGCGTGAACCCCAACGATGGTTCACAGATACCGCCATCACGGCTCAAGACCAATGTCAAGGACATCAGGAAGTTACCCTGCTACAAGGAGTACGAGCACAAGTACCAGGACATCGACTTCCTACATAAGACATACCCCGATGTCTTTTAAGCCATGCATGCATTTAAGTGTTATTTTGTTTGATTTTTTGTGTCAATTATGTGTGAATAATGCGAACAAATAAAAAACTTTTTTTAATTAATTTATCGAGAAATTCATATAAATGATTATTTTTTAATTTAGTGTCATATTGAATGAAAGTTATCTAGTCACTAGTTATTAAATTCTAGAACTACTGTATGTTAATATAATACAGTAGTTATCAAGTTATGATACTTAAAATTAAAGTTTTTAAAACTACTTTTAATGCACTTGTGGTTTGCATTGATTGTCAAACTAATTGTTGATTATAACTGTTAGCAAGGTTTTTAAAAACTATATTTAAGTTCAATGCGTAATTTGTATGCATTTTCCACATTAAAAACTATAATAATATTAATTTCAATTATTAAACTTCAAGTCAAACTGTAAGCAAATCATTGGCTTATAGTATAGGCAGTCATCGTATGAATCAGTGCTTTCACTTCAGACTAGTGTTGCATTGAGTGCACACTAGTATACCATTTGCTTTCAAATAGTAATACATTTTATCAAAAAAATTTAATTATCAACTAATAATGCATAAAATTAGACACATTTTAATTAATGTGTAACTAATATAAACCACAAACTAATCGTAAGTATAACTACATTACAAATAACTGTATTTCCCTTAACATAACATAACAGCGCATCAAATGGTGAGTCAATACAACACTAACGCAACGCATAGCGTGAATGTGTGACACGTTTTGAGACATTTTTGTCGATATAATTATCTGACCATCGCTTCAGACACTCATCTCTCACCTCAACCACAGATCGCACTCTTGAGGTCGCATATCATCACAAATGTCATCCAAAAGCCATTTCGATGGACTACTCGAGGAATACGAGGACGAGTTGGTGGACATCCGCGCCAAACGCAACGCCATCTCCTTCGCCGTCGACTATCACCAGCTGTTCCGACGCCAAGAGCTCACGGACTTTGAGTTCCGGTTCGCCGGCCTCGGGGGGCACCCGTTGGGGGCGCACAGGGCTCACCTCATGGCCAAGAGGTGCGCCAAAGTGGACACGAATGCCGACCACATGATGATCGCCGACACCATCGACAGACTCCTCTTCGAGAAGGTCGTGGAAGCGCTGTATTGCGAGGCCTTCGACCTCGAGGTGAGCGACACCAATGTCGCAGCCTTTGAGGCCATTTGCGACACTCTTGGCAACGACGCCCTCAAAGACCAGATACGGCTCACGCGGGACGAGTTGGTCGTCAAAGAGGACGTGAAGACAGTGACCGAAATGAAGACCAGGCTTCTGAAGAGGAAGGCCTCCGACGCGGAAGCGGTTCCCAGTAAGAGAGCGCGCGTTTCCGACGGCGATCAACCGGTGATACACCAGACATCGGTGCCGTCCGAGGTTGAGGTGGGCGTCAACGGCGAGCCGTCCGACCCGAAGACACACTCGCAGGCGCTGTCCGTCGGCACCGATGTGTGCAATCAGTCCCCGCCATCAGCGGTTCCCATGAATGGCAATAAATGGCTTCCCATTCCTAGTTTACTCGCATCTCCACAGCCTTGTGACGATTACAACCAAAAGGGCGAGGATTTGGACACAACTGTTGCGTCGACACCGAAGCCGTCCAGCACTCGGACATCAGCTAATGGTTGCCAACAATCGCTCACTCCAGAGGCGACACCGCATCCGATGGACGACCAGTTCGCAGCCCACAGTTCGTGTCGTTCGCGATCTAATTCGCTGTCGAGGTATGCCTTCTCCCGCTGTGTGTCCATTGATTGCCACTTAATTAATGATGAACAAAATAATTACCCGTAATAAAATGCTTACTTATTAGAATACAGTATATTAACTTTTATTTTTATGAATATCACATTAAATTACTATTACATAATATGCAAATATATGCATGGCAATTTATTGATTGACATCTTAAACTCTAAGACTCGAGGGCTTTACAGTGCGCTTAATACATAAAATATGATAATTGAGATTAATTATATCAGATGTAACCCTTTAGTCTCATCTATATTTATAACTCAATTTGTATTTTTAGACTATTTTCGTACAACTTTGGTGAAGACATAAGCATTTTCTAGTGATTTATCAATCAATACAATCGAGTGATGCATAACTCGATAACACAATTTGCGAGACATTTTGT